ACTGGAGTCAACGCACTCGCCCGAAGGATCGAGCAGCACATGAAACAAGGAACCAGGACGGGAGGCGCAACCCCAACAAAGGAGAGGGCGCATGCAGCCAGGACGGGAAGCGCCACCCAACAGACGTGGGGCGCAGAAGGAATGGTTCATCGGCCACAAGAGCTGGTGCACTCGGCATACCAAGAACATTGCTGAGCGGCACTCACTTGTAGACGATCTCAGGGCTCCTGGCGGCCATGTGGCAGTACATCTTGTCGAAGGCGGTCTTATCGCTGACTTCTTCGTGTGGGAGCCGATTGGCTTGAGACAGGATGCCTTGACGCGAATGGCATCAGCACCAGTCTTGAAGGCCCAGCCGTCAGCAGCGCCGACAAGGCCTTCGGACATGCCTGGAGCGAACGCATGCTTCTCGTTGTGTTGCCGAGGAACATCAGCCTTTCCGTGCCGCTGTGGCCTCTCCCCATCAGTACGAGCATCTTCCTTAGCGCAGGGCTCGCTCTTCTATCGCCACAGAGCACGAAGCAGCCGCGTCACCTTCAACGGGCGGCTGTTCGCCGGACGGTTCCCCCGTCTCGTGCGCCAGGACTGACCAGATGGACCCGGTGTGCGTCTGGCGTTCGGGGCCTTCCACCATCGCAGGGCGCATGGCTTGCGGCGCAGCAGAGAGACCGTCGAAACGGACCGGAAGGGGCTTCGCGACAAAGCGGATGCGGGACTCGCCTCTGGAGTTCCTGTGCCCGTTGTCCAAGATGATAGCGTTGTCGATGTCCAAGTTCACAATCTGGAGCAAGCTGATCATGAGGCTGTTCCGCAGACTGGGCTTCCAGACCCCAGACGGGGAACAAGAAGATCTGCATGATGAGCTTGTCGTTGTGGCTGCACAGCTTGACAACGCCTTGCGGGCCATTCGCCAGCTCCTGGATGACCCAACGGGACCTGGCTGCAGAGACCATTGCGAGCGGGAAGGCAAGAGGGAAAGCAGCGGCTCGCAAGTGCAAGCATGTGGCCCCACCTCAGGCAGACGCCTGAGCCCGACGGGCTCCTCCTCCTCCTCCTCCACCTTCCTCCTCCTCCTCCTCCTCCTCCTCCTCCTCCTCCTCTGCCTCCTCCTCCTCCTCCTGCTCCGCCTCCTCCTCCTCCTCCGCCTCCTCCTCCTTTTCCTCCTCCTCCTCCTCCCCCGCCGCCTCCTCCATCGGCCTCGTCTTCCACCTCCTCCCACATCCTCCACATCCTCCGTTTCCTCTTTCTCCTCCCTTCCTCCCTTCTCGTCTCCATCAATGATCATCATTATCATCAGCAGCATCATCGTCGTCAGCAGCATCATCATCCTCATCATCACCAGCACCACCAGCGTCATCATCATCAGCAGCATCATCAACATCATCAGCAGCATTATCAACATCATAGTCGGCAGCGTCATTATCATCATCAGCAGCAGCATCATCAGCAGCATCATCGTCATCGTCATCGTCATCGTCATCGTCATCGTCACCATCATCGTCATCATCTTCACCGCCACCATCACCATCAGAAGCATCAGCATCCCCATCATCGTCGTCGTCACCAGCATCACGATCATCAGCAGCATCCGCGTCCGCAGCAGCAGCAGCAGCAGCGGCCGCCGCAGCATCAGCGTACTCTTCATCGGTGTCTCCTTCCTCCTCAGGGAGACGGCGGGCCGCGAGGTAGGCCACGTCGCGGACAGCGCCTGCGTGGCTCGGGGCCAGCGTCGGCTCGTGAGGTGCGACCGGCGGCCGAAGTCCCACCCTGACGCACGGAGCGAGGTGCGATGGCTGGCCACCGGGAGGGAGGCCGAGCGCCACGTCGAGTGGGAGGGGTGGAGAGGCGAGGCGTCTGCCACGGCGCCCACGCCTGCAGCTTGGAGGCGGGCGCGGGGGGCCGGGAAGGCAGCGCTGCGGGCTCGGGTGGGCGCTGGCATCATGGAGGGGGCGAAGGATCGCAGGCGATGCTTCTCCCCCGACGCCCGGCTTCTACGGAAGACGGAAAGGCTCAGACAAGGGGGGGAACCATGGGATACACTCCACAGGGGTTATTCGGACGAACACCATATCGAGGATGGACGCCCCCCCATCGTATGTCCCAGGGTTGGACCCCAAATTGATGGTCCACTCGAAGACCTCCAAAAGCCAGGATAGGGGCCGCCATATCCCCTGTTAAAGGAGGAGGAGGCGGATGAGGAGGAGGAGGAGGAGGAGGAGGAGGAGGAGGAGGACGAGAAGGACGAGGAGGAGCGATGAGGAGCGACGAGGAGCGAGGAGGAAGATGAGGAGGAGGAGAGGAGAGACGAGGAGGAGGAAGGAGGAGGATGTGGTGGAGGGAGGAGGATTCAGTGAAGGAGGAGAAGGAGAAGGAGGGGAGGAGAGGAGGAGGAGAAGGAGAAGATGGAGGAGGAGGAGATGGAGCGGTAGGCGGCGGACATGCGGCGCCAGCTCGTGGCCACCAATGCTTGCGACGGACGCGCGTGGACGCCGCGGGGCGGAGCGGACAGAGCGGAAGCCTCGCCCGAGGGGCTTTTCCCTCCTCCTCCTCCTCACCCTCCACCTCCTCAACATCATCATCATCATCATCATCATCATCATCATCATCATCATCATCATCATCATCATCATCATCATCATCATCATCATCATCATCATCATCATCATCATCATCATCATCATCATCATCATCATCATCATCATCATCATCGTCCGCCTTGTCCTCATTGTCCTCCTTGTCTTCCTCCTCCTCCTCCTCCTCCTCCTGCTCCCGTCTTCCTCCTCCTCCTCCTTCTCCTTCTCCTCCTCCTCCTCCTCCTCCTCCTCCTCCTCCTCCTCCTTCTCCTTCTCCTCCTTCTCCTCCTTCTCCTCCTCCTCCTCCTCCTCCTCCTCGGGAGCCTAACCTGGGCGGGAGCCTCACCCGGGCATGAATTTGGCCTCGCCAAAGGGAGGACGAGGTGCCGCAGGTTGCGGCGGCGAGGCGGCAAAGATCGGCGGCGAGCGAGGGGGGGAAGTGAGAAGGAGCAGGCCTTCTCGGAAGGCTCGGAAGTCCCCAAGCCTTCTGAGAAGTTTTCTCAGCCTTCCCCGACGACACAGAAAACCTTTCAGAAGGCGCGAGGGCTTTGAGAAGCCCCGCCGCCCTCTGAGAAGGCCTACTCCTTCTTATTCCCCGTATGCTAAGATGGGGTTGTTGTTATTACTTGGACGCCTCCTACTCCTTCCTTCTCTTCTTCTCCTCCTCCTCCTCATCCTCCTCATACCCATGTTTACTACTCATACACAGGCTTATTCATACCCAGACCTAATCATATTCAGACTTATTCATGACACAGTAAGCCCGCACCCACTCAAATCCAGACCCAGTCATAGTCATACCCACTCCCACTCGTACTCGTGTACATTATTTGCGGTACGGCTCGTTTCCCCCCACTTGGACTTACTCATGCTCAGATATACGCATACCCAGATTTATGCATACACAAACTTACTGATGTTCAGACCTACTCAGACTTAGACTCACTCATACTCGGACTTACTGATGCTGAGACTCACTCATACCCAGACTTCCTTATACTCACACTCGTTCCCAGACATACTCATACACAGACTTACTCCTACTCTGACCTACTCATACTCAGACCTTATCATTGTCTGACTTACTCAACACACAGCAGATTGTCAGGATGTCCCAGGCGGTGGCGATGGTTTCAGCACCTCCAATGGGGAGCCGCCAGGGGTGGTTTCACGGTCCCGTTCGCAGCAATGTTGTGGGGATGTCTTAGGCGGTTTGTTTGTTGTTTTGTCTCAACATCCTTGGCTATCAGAGCATAGTTTGAGGATTTCTCAGAAGGGGCGTTGGCTTCAGCACCCTCAAGGGGAGCCGCCAGGGATGTTTTCACTGTCCCGTTCGCAGCAATTGTGTGGGGATGTCTCAAGCGGTTTGCCTGCTTTCTGTCTCAACATCCTTGGTTATCAGAGCAGATTCTGAGGATGTCTCAGGCGGGGCGCTGGTTTCAGCACCCCCAAGGGGAGCCGCCAGGGTTGTTTTCACGGTCACGTTGGCAGCAATTTTTGTGGGGATGTCTCAAGCGGTTTGCCTGTTTTTTATCTCAGCATCCTTGGCTATCAGAGCAGATTCTGAGGATGTCTCAGGCGGGGCGCTGGTTTCAGCACCCCCAAGGCGAGCCGCCAGGGGTGTTTTCACGGTCCCGTTCGAAACAATTCTGGGGGGGTGTCTCAGGCGGTTTGCTTGTTTTCTGTCTCAACATCTTTGGCTATCAGAGCAGATTTTGAGGATGTCTCAGGCGGGGCGCTGGTTTCAGCACCCCCAAGGGGAGCCGCCGGGGGTGATTTCACGGTCCCGTTCGTGGCCGTTTTGTGGAGATGTCTCTAGCGGTTTGCTTGTTTCCTGTTTTTGCGTTGGTCCCGAGTGGTTCTCCCCGTTGCGTGCGGCGGTCAAGGAGGAGTGACTGGGTGTTCCTGGCGCAGAGCCTGTGTCATCGTGGGATGTTGCTTCTCTCCCCGTGGTGCTTTCCATTCTTGTCGTCGTCAGCTGGAGAGGGAACTTGAGAAGGTTCACTTTCCCGCGTGCGTTTTGGCCTGGGAGGTACCTTGAAAAGGTTTACTCTCTAGCTGCGGGGGAGGGGACTTGAAAAGGTTCACTTTCCCGCTTGTGGTCGAACTGGAGAGGGAACTTGAAAAGGTTCACTCTCCAGGCGGGGGAGAGGAAACTTGAAAAGGTTCACTCTCCCTCGTGTGCTCGTCGCTCACGTAGACGCGCTCTTATCACAAATCTGTCATAGACAGATGCTCACCATAGCACTACCCTGCAGTATGAGATTCACATATGGCCCAT